TTTTGTAGGTTGGTTTCAACTCGGGCCCTCCGCGCAGAGGACCCATATATTATTTTTTTTTCCTTCCAAAATGGCAGCCTCCAGCCGCGCACAAGTGTTAGATCTGTACCGGGCGATGCTGAGAGAGAGCAAGCATTTCAGCTCCTACAATTACAGGTGACCCGGCGGGCGGCGGGGCCGGGAGGGCCGGGGGCGCGGGCTGCCCCGAACAACCCCGGGGAGGGGGCGGCGAGCCAAGTCTGGCGCCGGCGACCTCGGGACAGCGATCGCAGAGCGTGCCCTGCCACAGGTGCGGCTCTGAGAGCGCAGGGGAGGAGCAGGAGCCTGCCCTTGAGTGCACCTGGGGACACATCGCGTACGTCTCTCCAGGTCTACACCTGGGTTCGTGCTCTGGGGGCTCGGTTAGAGTCGCGTGTCTGCGGTTAAAGGATGGACATGCAGGCTGCACGTGATGAACTTAGGGACAGCGTGATGCGTATGTTGGACTCTCCTGAGAATTGGTAGTTGGGTGGAGTAGCGGTGGCCAGTGGCACCAAGCCGAGCGCTCGCTGTAGCCCTCCCTTTTTTTCGTAGGCTCTTTTGGTTGCAAGAGTCAAGTCCATTCTATTTGGGGTGTGCGGTTTGGAGAATGGACACCCAAGTAGTGGGAAGGAAAAGTGATCCCACAGGCTTCCGGGAGAGGGTACCAGGAGATGAACCGTTAGTTATCTTGACTGTCCAGACGGAAATTCTGCTTATGCGACCTTAACAGCAGGAGAATAGAAGTCTGAATTCGTAACATTGTTACCGGAGCACACTTAACCGTGCCTGCTCCATGCCCCTATTTGCTTATGAACCTGTGCTCCATTCTCCTATTTGCTTATGAACCTGTTATTTTTAAAGTTTATTTCTGGGACCAGCAGTTGGCGTAATGGCTATTTCGCTGGACTCCCATGTAATCGACCCCGGTTCGAGTCCTGGACCTGGTGGCTTAAACTCACTCCGGGCGTGTGTGCCCAAGATCCCAAGAGGGGAAGGGATTGCGGCATTGCCATACATCCCCCCTACCTCCCCGGGGGTGATTATTTCTCGCTTTCTATCTCTCTTTCTGGCGAGCGCACCCTATAGCACAAACCTCTCCAAAAAAAAAAAAAGCTAAAGTTTATTTCTAACATGAGCTAGAAAAATAGACAACATCCCCAACAGGGTCTTGACACGCTGATGTACCCCCAGCCAGCCCTAGATCATGGACACCTTCTCTTCCCACATGGAAGATCCGAAGACCAAATCTGGAACCATCTCTGCTGCCATCGGGCCCTGAGTCCCTTGTTACTCCTCTTTGTACCCCTCTTCCCTGTCTCAGAAACTGTCACAGTTGTTGATTCCCTATAACCTCTGACCCATCATGACTGTGAGTGTCTGTCGGAGTTTCTCCCTGCATTCTTTCAGCTTTGGTGTCTGTACTAAACTACTGACCCTCTCTGAGTTTGAGCCTATTTACAGGAAAGAATCTGATTGGACTAGCTCATCTTTTTACACCAGGGCTCACTTTAGGTGATTGGCCAGCCTTGTATTGGGTGTCATAGCAACAGAACTTACCTCTGGAACAGGCCTGGCTAGGTACCCACCACCACCCCCGCAGGTATGTGAGCGGGCAGGCCCTGTGCTGGGTAGGCCTTGTATATCTTGGGTTAGTGGACAGAAATGCTAATCGTCACAAGTAGTGACTGTCAAATTTTAGAAACCTGTGTAGAAATGTACACAACCTGTAAGTGTGAGAAAAGCATCTCGATCGTACCAGTACAGTTGTCTTCACCCAGTCAGGCAGTGAAAGGAAATATTTCAAGGAAGTCTATTATTAGACTTCAAGACTTTGACTTTGGAGGTGAACAGGTGTAATACTCGTTACACTGGTGAGATGATTAACAAAAAATTAACCAAACATCCTGCACTGAAGTTCTTAACCAAGTCTGTAAAGGGAATGCACAAAATATGCAAATAAAGAAGTGGAAACCAATCATTTTCACCACTCAAGGAGAAGATATTTTGTCACTTGACTTCAGTCAGAATTAACAATGACTGGATCACCACACAGTTCACACACTCTACATGGTGGCAGGGAGGGCGTGGACCAGAGAGCACATTGCAGAGAAGCCGTGTAAGAGCCCTCATGGAACATGTCATCTTGGACAAGTCACTGACGCTCTCTGTGTCAGGTGTCTATAAAAGTAGACCATCGGACTCACAATCTCTAAGGCTCCTTCCATTATTTTCTTTTTTTAATTTTGCTATAGGATATGTGTGCTAACTAAGGAGAGTAAGTAAGAATAGGATGCACCACCCAGTGGCTATAGCCATACCACAGTGCCTCCTCCTCCATGCTTCTCTTGGGATTTGGGGCATGCAAGCAACTGGTATAGTGTGGACAAGGCAGCTGGATCCCATGTGGTCATCTGTGCAGTTGAGTCCCAGACCTGGCAGCTCGAAAATCCCGCTGGGCATGTGTGCAAGCATGCCCAAAATCCTGAGAGGAGAATGAATTGCAGTGTGGCCATCCTCTCCATGGGGTGCTTTCTCTCTCTCTCTCTCTCTCTCTCTCTCTCTCTCTTTCTCTCTCTCTCTCTCTCTGTCCCTCTCCCTCCAGCAAGAGTACATGCCCTATGACAAAACAAAACAGAAATCTTTGCTAGAACTCAAATGATGCTTTCAGGAATAGTCAAGAAGAGAATCTAAGTAGAGTCTAGAATGAAGTCCAGGTTTCTCATTCAGCCGAAGCACAGAGAGGGTAGGTATAAAAGTATCATTCCCTGACTCAGAGAATACAGAAATATCTGGTCTTGCAGGAAGAAGTTTTTGAGCTCATTTTTAGGACAGCATGGGTACATTTCATCTGGGACCCTGAGCAGAAGCAGCTAATCACAGGGGTCTGAAATGCAGAAGAGCCAGCAGGGCTGGAGAATTCAGCACCACTGACTCTCTGCGTGACCTTGGCAAATCACTACACTTCCTGTTCTGCAATTTCCTAATCTATGAAATGGAAATAATCATTTCTTCATCCCATAGGGTGGTGAGGTTTAAATGAATTCATTCAGTTCAAGGGCTTAGAATAATGTATAGCACAGAGTAGGCACTTAGTCGAATTACTTTCAACATGGAATTAAAACTTTGGTATTAGATGAAATCTCCAGGAAGGATAATTAGGACAGTGGTTCTCAACCAAGGCAGTTTTATTTGGTAATGTCTGGGGACATTTTTGATTGTCACAGCTTTGGTAGACGGTGCTACTGGCATGTAATAGACTCAAAGGATACGTAGGACAGCCCCTGTTAACAATTATCTGGCCAGAAGGTTCTGTCCTATGAAAAACAAGAAATCCCTATTTATAGTGAGAAAATTAAAGAAATAAGAATGCTATTCTAAGGAACATTAAAATCTAAGGAGTTGACTGGAGACCCCCTGTAGAAGGCCAAGAAAATATTCTAAGAACGTGTTTTTCCGGACGAGCAGATGGTGTAATGGTTACGTCACTGGACTTGCACGTAATCGACTGCAGTTCAAATCCTGGATGTGGCGGCTTAAAACTCACACTCGATGTATGTGAGTGCATACTCAAAATCCCAAAAGGAAAAAGGAAGAGAAGGGATTGTGGCGTGGCCATCTGCCCTGCAGTGTGATTTCTCTCTCTCTCTGTCTTCCTGGTGAGTGCATATGCCCTCTAGCAAAAAACAAAAACAAAACAAAACAAAAAACCAAAAACATGGTTCTCTAGCTCATTTCAGGAGCCTTTTACATTTTGTTTGTTTGTTCATTATTTATCCAATTTTATTTATTATTTTTGTTATTATTATTACTTAATTTGCTATAGGGCATGTGCACTCACCAGAGAGACAGAGAGAGAGGGAGAGAGGGAACATGACAAAGCAAGCCACCAGGGCCAGGACTTGAACCATAGTTGACCATGTGGGAATGCAGCACCTCAACCACCATGCCACCTGCTGGCTTTGCCTTGGCCTTTTACATTCTTTTTTGGGGGAGAGGTTTTTGTTTTAGGGTGCATGCGCTCGCCAGAAAGACAGAGAGAGACAGAAAGTGAGAAATCACCCCCCAGGGAGGATGGCCATGCTGCAATCTCTTCTCCTCCATTCTCCTCTCGGGATCTTGGGCACGCACGCACACGCGCCCAGCGTGAATTTAAGCCACCGGGTCCCGGACTTGAACCACGGTCAGCTACATGGGAGTCCAGCGACATGGTCATTACGCTAACTGCTGGTCCCGCCTTTTACAAAGACCAAAAAAAACCTGTAGTTTATTTGAGGCATAGTTATCAGTATTTACTCAGATTAAAATTATACCCAAAGCTGTTTTAAAGCCCATTTTTAAAGAGATTGATAAATTCATTACATGTTAACCAAATTTTTAAAGGATAATTGTTTTCTTCTAAAAAGTCAAGCGTGGTATTGACATTTTTAATATTTGCCTTCTAGAAGACAGCTGGCTGCTCACATTTGCTTCTGCCTACACTCCGTTAGTACCCACAGATCATCCAGCCTGTGGTAGATCCTCCTGCACACACGGAGGGAGACATTTGGTTAATGAAATACATAAGGGTAACCGATAGAGCGAGACCCACGAGAGGTCAGAGGCGGTCAGGACAGGTGCTGGATTGATCTCGGACTGAAGGACTTGGATTGTTTTCCATCAGTGGATGGAAGAGGCGAGGATAATTCACACATAGGACACACCCTTGTAATAGTTGATTCGTTTATTTCAGTTCCTTGAAAGCAGAAATTCTGTCTTACCTCTCTCTTCTTAATGCTTAGTATAGTACCTATCTAATATCGTTGTTGAAAAGCAAAAGAAAAATTTTTCAGAGGCCATTTTTGTCAGCTATTCCCTTTATATATGTGAGTGTGTGTGTGTGTGTGTTTGTGTGTATAAAATGCATAATATATTGAGTAATACATTATTTTTTGCTTGTAAAAGGGTTGGACCCTAATACACCCTAGAAGTTAAGGGAGCTCCATACCACATGGTTGACCACAGTCTAATCTCAGCCCCAGTGGCTTGAAAAACATGCCAAGCATATGTGTGTGCTTGCCCCAAATCCCAACATGATGGAGAAGTGGAAGAGAAGGGATTGCAGCATGACAGTGGGAATGGTTACTTTCTCCACCCCT